GGGGGCACTCTTGGCACCTCCTGGGTGTCTTGGGAGCCTCTTGGAGGCCTCATGGGGGCCTCATTGGGGGCCTCATTGGGGGCCTCTTGGGGCCCATGGGGGCTTCTCGGGGCCTCTTTGGCCGTCATAGGCCATCCCTGGCCCGTCAGACGCCGTCGCAAGCTGTCTTTTGGGGCCTCTCTGGGCCGATTTGGGACCCTCGTGGGGTGCTCCAGGGCCGTCTTGGAGGCCATCTCGGGCGCCTTGGAGGCCCCTTGGGCCGTCTTGAGGCCGTCTTGGAGCGATCGTTCGGCGACTCGGGGCCCTCTTGGACCGTCTTGGGGGCCTCTTGGGGTCCTCCTGGCCCGTCTTGGGGCCCTCTTGGGTCCGACAAACGTCACGCGGGGGCATCTTGCCAGGCCCCGGGGAGCCGCGGCCAGCCCCCAGAGCTTGGGCCGAGGGGCTCCGAGCCCCCCTTTGAAGAGCTCCCCGGGAGTGACGACGGAGGCTTGGGAGGGGCAGTGGCGAGAGGACCCGAGGACACGCCCACTCCGTGCCCAGGGGCACGGTGGCGGACGTCTGTGCAGCTCTTGTCGTTTCCTAGATTCAGCATCGTAGACTGTCAGGACTGGGACTCTCGAGCGGAACGCCCGGACCAGCCTTCGGACACGGTGTTGATGCGGGTAATGATGATGATGACGATGTTGAGGGGGAAGGGGAAGGGGAACGAGAGCGGAAGGGTGTGCGTAGACGATTATCACGAACTTCGCTGCTGCACCAACTGAACGCGCAGCGGTCGTGTGTCCGCCGTCAGGTGACGGCATAGGCGAGAGAGGAATAAATCAACGGCACTGTAACGGGTACTTACTAACGGGTACTTTGAATGTTTGCTGAAAGTTGCCACTTTAGGGTCTTTCCTGCATTGCAGCTTTGCCCACATCGGGAAGGGTTGGGTTCGCTGGGTCACTGGCCAAAGTACCCGTTAGTGGAGTCCCCGTTTGAGGGGCGCTGAATAAAGCCGACCCACCACGATTAACAAGGCCAATGTCTTGTGTTATTCAAGTGGTTTGCGTCGTGGATGGTACCTTGTCGGGTGCATTAGACGGTCTCTCCGGATGCCTGCCTGGGGTGTCTTGGAAGGGCATGTGTGGCCCCTTTGGGGCCTCATTGGGCACCTCTTGGACGCCTCTTGTGGACCTCTTGGGAGCGCTTCGGAGGCCTCTGGGGCGCTTTCGGGGCCACCTTGGGGGGGAAAAGGCTCGACATGTCAGTTTGCATGGCCCCTCTTGGGCGCCTCTCGGGGCCCTCTTGGGCCGTCTGTGTGGAGGGGGGCCTCGTGGGCACATGCATACACACATACATACATGCATATACATATGTATATATATATATATGTATATATATGTATACATATATATATATACACACTATACATCCATGCATGCATACATACATGCACGCATGCATACATGCCTGCATACATACATACAGCATATATCCACACATACATGCGTATATACACATATATACATACATGCAGACATACAAACATACATAGCACTCCGCAGTTGCGGATAAGAGTGAGAGGGCGGCGGGGACGTCGGCAGTCTGCGAGGCTTTGAAGAAACCCGCCGCAGGCGCAAAATTTTCCATGCTATACAACGAGCCCGCCGCAGGCGCCGATTTTTTTGTGAAAGCATTGTGGGTGGGTCGCGGGTTTTGTCGCTGGGTGGACCGCGGGTGGGTCGCGGGTGGGTCGCGGGTGGGTCGCGGATGGGTCGCGGGTGGGTCGCGGGTGGGTCGCGGGTGGGTCGCGGGTGGGTCGCGGGTGGGTCGCGAGCGGGTCGCGGGGTGGACCGCGGGTGGGTCGCGGTTGGGTCGCGGGGTGGGTCGCGGGTGGGTCGCGAGGTGGGTCGCGGGTGGGTCGCGGGTGGGTCGCGGGCCGGGTCGCGGGCGGGCCGCGGGTGGGTCGCGAGCGGGTCGCGGGGCGGATCGCGGGTGGGTCGCGGTTGGGTCGCGGGGTGGGTCGCGGGTGGGTCGTGAGGTGGGTCGCGGGTGGGTCGCGGGCCGGGCCGCGGGGGGGACGACGACAACAACAATAAGCAGAATTCTCACCGCGGATCCGCGTTCCAGCCATGCACCCAAGGACAATGAATGACCGTTCGGTCCCCTCACTCTGACATGCATGCATGCATACATATATACATACAAACAAACATACATACACATACACATCCATCCATCCATCCATCCATACGTACGTACGTACATACATACATACAATCATACATACAATCATGCATGCATACATACATGCATACAAACATACGTGCATACACACATACATGCACACATACATGCATACATGTATATAGCGAGAGGGCCATACGGCCAAGTCTGCATTATATGCGCATTCAAACAAATTTATGTCTTTATACCGAGAGAAGGGCCTTTATTTAGCTATCAACATAGAAAAACAATGAGGGATAGAGGGAGTGAGGGAGGGAATGGTAGAGAAAGAGAGAGGGAGCGAGAGAGAGAGAGAGAGAGAGAAAGAGAGCGACAGATCATGAGAGAGAGAGAGCAAGAAACACAGACAGACAGACAGACAGACAGAGACAAACGGGCGGACGGACAGACAGACAGACAGACACGCAGACAGACAGACAGACGCACAGACAGACAGACAGACAGACAGACAGACAGACAGACAGACAGACAGACAGACAGACAGACAGACTCAGAGACAGACAGAGCCAGACAGACAGACAGACAGACAGACTCACAGACTCACAGACAGACAGAGAGACAGACAGACAAACATACAGACAGAGACAGAGACAGCGGCATATACACTTGCAGAGACAGAGACAGACAGAGACAGAGACAGACAGACGGACAGCGAAGGATGCCGCTGTAAACATCAGCAACACGTGGCGCCCCCGAGGACTGCCAGAGGCTGGGCATCGGCCACGACGCCGACCTGCGGGCCATCGACCGATCTCCCGAGGAGCGCGCGGTTCGTGCCTCCCCCCTCCCCAGGCTGGAGGAGCAGTGGCAGAGGAGGAGGAGGAGGAGGAGGAGGAGGAGGAGGAGGAGGCGGAGGGAGGAGGAGGAGGAGGAAGGGTAGAAGGAGGAGGAGTAGGAGAAGGAAGGGGGAGGAGAGGAGAGGGAGGAGGAGGAGGATGAGGAAGGGGAGGATGAGGGGAAGGAGGAGGAGGAGGAGGAGGAGAGGAGAGGGAGGGAGGAGGAGGAGAGGAGGAGGGGGGAGGGGGAGGGGGAGGGGGAGGGGAGGTTGATGGGGGAGGAGGAGGCACAGTCTCCGCCGAAGTCAAGGAGTCCAGGGCGGGCCTCTTGCCATGACCACCGCCTTGTGGGGGGATCGATCTTCGGGAACCGCGGCAGGCGGCGTGCGTGTGGACGCACTCGGGCCCCGGAGGGCCCCTTGGGGGAGGGAGGATGGAGTCCCTCCTCCCTCTCCCTCCTCCCTCCCCCCTCCTCCTCCTCCCATCCGTCCCTCCTCTCCCTCCCCCCTCCCCCCTCCCCCCTCCCTCCCTCCCCACCCTCCCACCCTCCTCCCTCCGATCCTAATCCCGCCTCCCATCTTCTCTCCTCCTACTCTCTCCTCTCCTCCCACCTTCTCCCTTCCTCCTCTCCCTTCCTTCTAACCAACCTCCCCACCTTCCTCCCTCCCCCTCCCTGATTAACCTTCCCTCCTCACCACCACCCCCCTCCCCCTTCCTCCTCTCCCTCCTCCCTCCTTCCCTCTTCTCTCCCTCTCCACCTCCACACCTCCTTTCCTCTCCCTCCTCCCTCCTCCCTCCTCCTCTTCCTCCTCTGACTGGTGCACGGCGGGGAACTTTGGCTTGGCGTGCCGCTCCGCCAGTTCTGGCCCGCCACGCTTTGGCGCGACGCGCTGACCAAATCCCCCTTCCCCGGGCGTCCACGTCGCGAGCCTTCCCGAGCCCCCCGCTCCGCGGAGCGAGCCACACGCTGTCCGCTCGCAGGGCATGGCATCGCGTGCCGCTGGGGCCGCCGGGGCCGCCGCCGCGACACGCTGAGCAAACGCTCCCACACGTATCCACATCCACTGCACCCTGGGGCCCTGCGACACCGGTCCTCCAGGCGGTGGGTCTGGATCTGGATGCGGCAGGCTCGCGCCGCGCGGGCTCGGCGACGGACCCAGCTCGGGCGTCGAAGCCGCTGTCGAGCGATGTGCGCTGTCGGAGAGCCGCGATCGTGCAAGAGGCTGAACGAGCCGCGCGGCGTCGGAAGCCGACGCCCGCGGCGTCGCAGCGGAGAGCCGCGATCGTGCAAGAGGCTGAACGAGCCGCGCGGCGTCCGGAGCCCACGCCCGCGGCGTCGCGGCGGAGGGCCGCGATCGTGCAGAGGGCTGCGGCGCGGCGCTCTGCCCTCGAGCAGCGTGTGTGCTTCAGGAGGGGAAAAAACACACAGACACATTAATCGTCGCTTCCCAGAGAATATGGGAAAATCTGGGAAGTGGGGGGGAAGACAAAAACCCAGAAAATACGGAAAAATATGGGGAATGTTTTTATTTATGTGTATTTATGTGTGTGCCCTCTGGCGCGGCTGCCCTCGGCGGCGCTCCGCCTCTGCCCGGAGCGGCGGGCGCAGGGGGGGGCAGGAGGTCGCCACCCACCAAAACCACCCCAACCCAAGCCGAAGGCTCAGAGGTGCCCTCGATTTCCAGTGGGGGGGGGGGGTCGGCAAGCATGGAAAAGGCACGTGGGGAACCCTTATCGGGGGTGGACAGAACCCCCAACAGTGACACGTCGATTAGTGAATTGTCCGTTTTCGGTTTTCGAGAGGGCGTCGTGGCCGTTCTTTTCCAGGCTTGCGCCCGCCAGGTTTGGGCCTCAGGTCGTTTTCACTAAACCACGTTTTGCTAAAGGGGGGTCTGTCCATCCCCGACCTTACCCCCCCCCAACCGGAAAGTCGGGTCTTCGGGTTGGGTGGGGGCGGGTCTGGTAGGCAGTCAGGAGGAGGAGGGCGGCGGCGAGGACGGAGCCGAGGGTGCGGAGGGCGAGGATGAGCAGGCAGGAGGAGGGGAGGATCGGAAGGACTGCAAAAAAACCCTAGGATTGCAAAAAACGAAGGATTGCAATCCTCGGTTTTTTTTGCAATCCTTCGGGTTTTTTTTGCAATCCTTCGGGTTTTTTTGCAATCCTTCGTTCAAGGGAGGGGGGTGGGGGGGATGGTCGCGTCCGTCGGACACTCAGGCCATCAGTGGCTCAGTGGACCAGGAGGACCGAGAGGACCAGGAGGAGAAGTTGGAGGAGGAGGAGGAGGGGGGTAGGATGGAGGATAGGATGACCAGTGTAAACCAAGACCCCTCAACGCTGTTGAAGTACACCCACGACGCAATAACCACTTCCATAGGGCGGCTCAGGAGGAGAAAGACGAGGAAGGGACAGGGGGAATGGAGACGTCGTCCATCCCGGTGCTTCCCGTGCTCCCACCGAGTGAGAAGATTGAGCAGATGGGAGGAGGAGGAGGAGAGTGAGGAGTGAAGAGGATGGAGGAAGGAGGAGGATAGGAGGGGAGGAGGAGGAGGAGGAGGAGGGAGAGGAGGAGTCAGGATTTGGACATCCCCAAGCCACAGACTCAACTTACAAGGCAACAGGAGGAGGAAGGAACGAGAGGACGAGATGATGAGTAGGACGACGCATTAGTAGGGAGGATGAGGGAGATATGAGGAGGGAGGACGAGGAGGACGGGCGGAGGGAGGAGGCGGAGGAGGAGGAGGAGGAGGAGGAAGAGGAAAGACAGTGTTGAGGGACGAGAGACAGGAGGAGGAGGAGAAGAGGAGGAGGGAGGAGGAGGAGGAGGATGGGGAGGAAGAACGATTAGGAGGAGGATATGAGGAGGAGGGAGGAGGAGGAGTTAGGAATGAGTATGAAGGAAACACGGAGGAGTAGGGAGTGGGAAGTCAAGACAGGCAGAGCTGCGGCCGTCATCGGCTGCTGGTCGCCTGCGTCTGTTTCTGTCCTTCTTGTTCGTCGTCCGTGCGTATGTGTCGCTTCTTCCGCCGTCCTGCTTTGCTCTCGCTCTGTCTTCCTTCGTCTTCTTCTTCTTCTGCTTAAATCGGTTCTTTGCACGAGGAGCTAGGCTGGCTATGGCAGAGCAGCAGGCCCGCCGGACCGACCTCTTCCACCTCACTGGGACTGCTGCCGAGACGAACCCGAGAGATTACCGGAACGCTCTCAGAGCGTTCCGGAACGTTCTGGGAAGGCCGCGGCGCCCGAGAGATCCCCCAGATCGGCTGGATCTTGGAGTTTCTCGATTTCTCCGTGTACGCGATGTCTGTCCTCACCCTGGCTCCGTCTTGGAGAGCGGCCCGGGTCTCGGCTGGGTGCCCCGTCCCGTGCCATTCTGCTCTATGCCGTGCCCTTCTGCTCGGTGCCGCCGGGCCCTCACCTCACGCCGTGCCTCGCTCCCACCGCTACGGGCACCTTCTCTGCGCCAGTCTTCCAAGTTTTCACTT